AGGATTAATATCTAGATTATATAAAGAACTAAAAAATGAGGCTCTTCAAAATAAAAGACCCAGTGAAAACACGCGTAACTGAAATGAATAGACACTTCTCAGAGAAGTAAATGAAAAATGAAAAAATGTTCAACATTGCTGACCATTATAGAAAAGTGAACTAAAACAACAAGATTCCATCTTACTCCAGAAAGAATGGCAGTTATCAAGAAATCAGATAAGAACAAATGCTCACCATGCTGTGTGGGGGCACTCTTCTACACGGTTGGTGGGAATGTAAACTAGGTCAACCCCTGTGGAAATCAGTACGGACTTTCCTCAGAAAGCTAAAACTAGAAATTCCATTTAACCCAGCTATTCTCCTTCTAGGTATCTTCCCCAAAGAGCTAAAGACATTCTATTACAGTGATACATGCCTACCCATATTTATAACAGCGCAATTCATAATATCTAAATCTTGGAAGCAGCCTGTGTGTCCGTTAGCAGATGAATAGATAAAGAAAATGTGGTATTTATACACAATGGAGTGCTACTCTTCCATAAAGAAGGATAAACTTGAGTGATTTATAGAAAAAAGGATATACTTTGCCACTATAATGTTAAGTGAAATAAATCAGGCACACGGGCTTAATTATCACATGGTTTCTCTTATTTGAGGAACTTAAAATATTAATGAGGAAAATAAAAGATAGACAATAGGAAGTAGAGAGATCTTTTCAAATGGGAAGGGGACTAAGAGAGGGAGGGAGGGGGAAGAGGGGAGGGAAGGGAATGAAGAAAGAACTGAGATGTGTTATGGACATGTACCAACTCCTCTAAGGAATGTAATCACCATGTACTGCAATCACGTACTAATAAAAAATAAAATCAAAAGGAAAAAAAGTTACAGGAAAGAGCAACTTTGTTTCTGAGAGAGGGGAATTACGAAAAAGCTAATGTAAGCTTGTTGCTGAGCCCTAGAAGAACCCTTTCTGATTTGTTTCCGGTGTGTAGGTTTGAAAGAAAGTACTTTTGTCTAACAAGTGCAGCTTCCTTTAATGGATAATTGAATTCGAGTATGTAGGCATTTTACTTGCTTTTAAAAAGAGACAGGAAGCTAACTTCAGTGAGAGGTTTCATTTTATTGGTATATAGAATTACACTTTGAAAGCATTTAAAATTGTGATCTCCAATACCGGCATGTTCAATATATTTTCTTTTATACATTGAGTGTGGGAAGAGTCTGACAATCTATTGGGAAATGTATGTAGATGGCAAAGCAGTGTAGTGCCTATTTCATCCCCTTACAAGTGTTTTATTTTATGTTGGCTTGGGCAGCACTGTTTTCAGACATTAGCAATACATCTTCCTTCCGGTTCCTGAAATTCCTTAATGCTTGCTGTGCTTGTGTTGATATTAGAGAGTGAGCATTTACTTATCAGATCTACTCATTGCTGAATTTTTAATAAATTTTTAATAAATCACATTTAGAAAACATGTAGGTTGTGCAGAAATTATTTGCTGAATAGGCTGGACATATTCTCACCTTAGGACCTTTTACTTTTTTATTCTCTTGGCCCACGGTTTCCTTCGGTTTTATTTACTAACTTTATTTACTTTTATATTTATTTACTAGTTTTATTTACTAACTCTAAGTCTTTATTCAAACATCATTTTCTCAATGAGACCCTGGCATTCTTATTCCCCCTTCATGATTTCTTAATTTCCTGTTTATCATTATCTGATTATTTGTTTCATCAGTTGCCATGCAATGTGTTTGAAGTGCCATGAGGGCTGGGAGTTTTGCCCGTTTGGTCCACTGCTGTATTGAGGCTTAGAGCAGTGCCTGGGATAAGCAGGTTGGATATGTTGAAAATAAATCGAATGGATAAAATTGTTCATGTGTCACTTTTATTTGGGCATGATTTATCTGTCAGTAATCCAGAACCCAGTTTGAACTGTACCAAGGGACAGAAATATTAAGACTGAACATGATGAGTCCCTGGATAGGACCTGTCCCTGCTGGGACAGGTGCCAGGTATGCTGGGGTCAGGCATCTCTTCTGGGTTCGGTGAACCTGTCTCACTGCTGCCACCTCAGCTGAGGCCTTTGCTGCACAGTGGACTATCCCCTATTACTTGACCCAGGACCCCAGAACCTGTCCCCAGACTACTCTGTGGTGGCTGAGCCCTGTGCTTGCTCTGTGCCCATGGCCATGGTTATTTGTGGTGGAAAGCTTAAGAGTAAACCCTGTACACTCGGATGTGCAACTCAATTTGAAGCTCATTTACAAAGCAAATCTATGTGACTAATTTCACATTTTTTTCCACTAGGCAGGCAGGAGTCTGTGTGCACATGGGCATCATGACATCCTCATACTGATAGGAATCGGGCACTTAGAAGCATCTGAGATATTTTGAGATCCAGCTCGTCACTTTTCAGGCTCTCTACAGGCATCAGATGTACCTTCCGGTTGTGACATCTCTTCTGTCTAGTCCAGCATTCTCAGGCAGGATGAAATTTCCAGTTATCATTTTAGATTGTGGCATGATTTCAAGAGGGACTTTTAAAAATAGAAGTACATTGCCCTGGTGGGTGACGCATTACGCCAGGAACACTCATTGGCACACATTATTCACTGGACTTGCCAATTGATGAGCAGGTTCCCCAGAGTCTGGGCACTAGGGTGGCACATTTTGATGGGTGTGAGTGGTAAAGGAACAGAGGATTGAGGCCTGGGGACTGTGGCATCAACTGAGGATGGCACATGTGGGTGAGTGGCATTGGAAGAGGCCATGACTAGGAAAGAATGTGATATGCTGGAAGCAGGGCAGTCAGAGAGAAAGGAGAGAGCATGGAAAGACAGGCAGACGACACCAAGGAAAACTCAAGAGCTTCACACTGAGGTCTGCCATGGTGCTGACCTCCCAGGTGATGAATACCTTTTCTCTTTAAAGATGGAGGAATAGATCAGAATTATGAGTTATGAGACTTAGATTGCATGCTTTGGCTTTGCAATCCTCATTTAGCTTCTTCTTAAAGTAATAATTGGGTTTGGGCTTGGAAGTGACACTCAAATCTTGCTGTGTTCTCCATATTTCCTTTTGTATAAGTTGGGGTTTGAACTCCGAGCTATCCCTGGGAATGATGAGGCCTAGACAAGAAAGCTAATAGGCCAATTTTGATGCAAAAAACATGTCTAAAGTCTTGATGTATTTATTGTGGATCTTTAGCATTCTCTCTTCTTTGATCCACATGCCCACATGAGGCCAATGAAGTCATCATGGCAGTGGGGAGTAGTTAGTGCAGGCTTTTAGCTCTGGGCCATGGGTTCTGGAAACATTCCTGGCCCCATCACAGACTCATCTGACCTATAAAAAGTGCTGTTGATCTTCTTACTGTCATTCTCACAAGATTTGGAAGGAGACATGAGGTAATGTCTATTTAGATCTTCGAGCTTCCTGGAATAACAGCATTTGCAGTAATATCAGTAATATGATTTCCCAATGCATTCATTTGTGTTGTAGTGGAGTAAATTCCTTTTACCTAAATTTCTTTAGGTGCTCCTAGAATATTTGACTGTCTTGATATTCAGAGTTGGGGCAAGACTAGAACCCACAAAGAATGCTCAGTCAAGTGAGCCAGGTACAAATCTCTGAGGTTAGACAAAGAGGACAGGAAAGGAATGAATAGGAGCTACATTTGTGGTACTAAGAGAAGGGGCATCATAATTAGCTCTAGAGAATTTATAACAAAGTTTAAATCATGTTGCTTTTCTAAGGATCAGTGTCCTAATATTTTAAAAATATAGGTGTATTTGAGTTTGGTAATTTGCACATTGGATGACTTATCTGCAACACTGATCCTGTGGTCTTTATCTATGATGGACTCTAACACAGCCTCCATCCAAATTGAACTCATGTTGTTCCTGGGGTCAACACCTAGTTGTTTACAACTTGCTTCTGATTCCGATACCAGAATTTTATACAAATGTTGACAAATATTTAGATTCATTTGTAAAATATCTAGTAGGTTATTAAATAATATTTTATCTTTGTTCTGGACATAGAGGCATAAGTCTTTTTTAATTAAAACAGTCATGACCAGTCTAACCTTTCATTTTGCCAATAGAGCAGAATTACAATGAAGTTGGCTTTCTAGTCAGTCCTAGAGAGAAAGGCTAAAGCCAATGATGGAAAATGAGGAAAGAACCATGTATGTCCTCTCTGGCATACTATGAAGATACTAATTTAGGTTACAATTATCTGTATTGGACAGTTTTGCTATGGAATTTTCTAGAATTAGTCAGTTCTTTGGAAGTTTCAAAATATTGTCAGCATTTTATAAAGAAACTTTAAGTAATATATTGAGTTTAACTAGAAAAACAGCATGTATTCACTTTCAAAGAGGTGATTATATACACTTTTTCAGAGCAGTTACTGTGTTTGTATTTTTGGAGAAATAACACTAATCATATCTTCTTCTGTGGAAGGAAATTATTATGAGTTTCATTTATTAAATAATAGAATATAATGCAGGGAGACTACATCCTGCCACCCAAAATGTGACATGAAAATAAATAAACCCTTACCAAATTGTATGTTTATTTGATTTCACAGCGTGCCAGGAATACATGAGAAAAGTCACATTGTTGCTTAAATTAATAATGATGTCTTATATAAGGAAATAACAATAGAATTCTGTGCAACTGCTCCTTAGAATAACGTGATCTTTTACTAAAAAAAATTATGACTCAGAGATACAGTTCAAATGAAGTTAAGTTGTAGATAATCTTAATAAAATCTCATTTCTTCTTCCTGACAACTTACTGGTTTAAAAGAACATTTTAAGATTTTAAATGTAGTTTTTATGTTCTCACGTAAAACTTCATGATAAATTTATTATTTTCTTCCACTGTATATGAATACAGATAAGACATACTTGAAAAGTGTTGAAAAACTTCCCCTCTTTATTGATCTATTGCAAGCTGAATTATGATGTTTTATTTGAATTTGTTTCAGAATCGAAGCAAACCCTTGGAGAAGGTTCACGTGGTTATTGGACCTAAATCATGTGACTTGGATGCTCTCATTTCTGCCTTTACATATGCCTACTTTCTAGATAAGGTGAGGGGCAATGATTATATTTACTATACTTGGATTGTGTAATTTAAAAAAAAATTTTAAAATTAATTTTATTGGTACATTTTAGGTATACAACATAATGACATTCATCATTGGAAATTTGCACCTTTACATAATCTCTCTTGGTGCTTATTTTTTTCCCATTCCCCTGCCCCCCCTCAACCCCTCCATCCCTCCCTATTTACAAAGACTTTGTTTCCATTTTTTCATTTTCTCATATGAATTCCATTCCTTTCTTTTCTTTCCCCTACCCTTCCCACTTCCCCTTCCCCTTTGCCCCTTTTCTTCCTATTTCACACTATCTATTATACCTTTTAGTCCTTATTTACAATTTCAGCTTCTCACACTAGAGAAACTATTTGGTATTTACACGTGTGTCCTCAACATTTGCTAGAAAAAAGATAGCTATCAATTTAAGTTTTATTGTTGTGGGGAATAAAGCATTGTGATTCATTAATCAACAAATATTTATTAAACACCTACTACATCTATATTGTGTTGTTCTAGTTATTCCTTACTGACTCTCTTTATAAAACTTTGTTTCAATAAGGTAAATGTTTTAAAATAAGAAACTTAAACTGTTTATCATAGTTAATTACTTTTATGGTAATTGAGGGAACTAACAAAATTAAGGTCAGAATTTCTTATGTTCCTTCATCATCCTATTGGATAGATTTACCCATGGAACAGAAAAATATGCACAGAATAACTGGTGTGAACATTACATGAAGTACAGAGAATATAGTCTGAAATTTTCAAAGACAGAGGTATTACATGTCAAATCTCCATTCTACAAGTATTTGTTTGATTTTGCCTTTTATCCTTGACACTAAGATAATTTTCACTTAGTGATAATCTGCCTTGAGGGAACTCTTTCTACTCCATGAGGCACAGATACACCTATACAAGTGCATAAGACCTTCAATAAATTGTTTTTAAATTTTTCTTCCATAAAATTAATCAGCCCATGATTATAGGCTTTCTTGCCTTAAAAATCTAAAAACGCATATTGTGAATCTTTGGGTGCTAGTTTCAAAACTTTCACACAATTTTTAATTTTGCAGAGCCTGGTTTGTTTTATTCCAAAATTTTTTTTAATCCTTGGCCCCTGACACTATGCTTAGCTGATCTAGAGCCGTTTAAATTCACATGAAAGCCAGTCTACCAGAATGAGCTGTGGGTGGCAAGAACTGCTTTAAGGCAGCAGCTGACAAAAATAATGGGTAAAATATTCTGATCTCTACATGTGGGCTTTATATCAGATTTATCTTAAAATTTGTTGAACTTTACAAGGGAGATTAATTGGTATGAGGAGATAAATGTGCCTATGTGAAGACATGCATAGTAAGTATTACTCTTAACTGGGTTTTTTGACTCCTAAAATTTTTTTTGCTTGTCCAGAGAACATAGAGTTAACTGAACTAGATTGATTTTTAGACTAATGGTGGTGTAGAACTGGAAGGAAATTATATAATAATACCATCATCACCAACAGCTGTGTCTTAAATGAATATAATGACACACAACAAAAGAGGTAGGGGAAGTAATTGTAAGAGATAAAATAGGTAGAGAAAAATAGACACACTGATCTTCCTCTCTTTCTTTGAAGCCTTGTCCACTAAGCATGGAAATAAATGTGGAATGACTGAGGAGCCACTTACTGGGAATTTTCCTCTCTTTTGTGCCTCAGTGCACTGGGCTCTGGCCCCTACGAGTGGTCTGCATGCCATTTAGGTTTTTCCTGAGAACCTGATTTCTCCCTCTTAGAGTATTGACATATGGGATAAGTACAGGGCTTTGCAGGCCTGCATATATGACCCAATTAAAATACTTTCTTACTTTGATAAGTGAGCTGAATTCTACAGGTCGGGAAAACTGAGGGTCAGAGAAGAAAATGGCTTCCTCGAAGTCACATGACAGAGCCTGGGGCTAGAACATAGTTCTTCTGACTCCAACTTCAGAACAGGTCCTTTCCGCATAAGCTAAGGCCACATGCTCCCAACTTCTGTATTGATTCCTCTCTCTAAGTCATTATTGAGAGTTAGATAGGACTCTCACTGAATTAGGAAAAATAACTTGGCATCCATACATTGCTTATGATTATTATGCAACTGTGATTCAGTAGTAACCTCACTGGTGAGAGGAAAACCGTGTTGTGGGAGTGGCTTTGGGCTTCATTTTCTGTAGCAGAGATGATTCATTTATTTCACTCAACAAATATTAAATGTTTACTAAGCGTCAGTCTGTGTGATGCACTGGAAGACATAACTGAACAAAGCAGTCCCAAAGGCCTGACTTCTTTGTGTCATCCAGGGAAGACAGATGACAGAGGTTAAACTGTGTAGTAAGCACTATGCTTGTGGCAGACATGGTGACTAAATGAGAATAAAGACCATTTACTTTATATAAAAATTTAATGTTACCAAACCCTGCATTCTTTAAATAATAGTCATTTTGGAGTTTATTACTATCTACTCATAGTAATTTTTAAAAGAATCTTTATTTTTAAAAATTCCTATATAAAATTAAGTTTATTATTGTGAATTGGGAACTCTTTACCTCCTACCCATCTCGTTTCCCCCACTTACAGCACATTTTTTAAAAGGTTCTTGAACATAAGCATTTTTAAATAGTACAAGAAATCAATGGAGATCACCATCTGTTAGTCTGTGGGCCAAATCTAGTTCCTAAATAAGTTTTAGAGTCCTATATTGTAGTTTGTATTTTTGAAACTTAATGTAAAAATTCAACATCACAGGTAACATCTCAAGATCTAGCTTTTCTTAGTAAGTGGAAGATTTGATCGCAGCAGGTTTGCATTTTTGCAAGTGAGCAACAGGCTGGATCAGAGTGGCAGGGTTCCCATTTAGATGTGGTGTTACGTGCCTTCCTGTGCCCCCACAGTCCTTGCTTGGTCTGCCTCCATCATTCTAATTTTCAGTGGTTCCATAAACACCTGTGAGGCTGTTACCCCTGAAAGGGAATGCAATGGAGATTCATTATTAGCATTACAGGTGAACAAAAGACCACTTGGTTTTGCCATTGTTTTTGTTGCTGTTGTTACAATTTTGTCTTATTGTGGAGGGGCTGAAGTGAGATAAATAAGCATGAGAAGTTTCAAGAAGTTAGAAAACATCAGGGGTTACTACCCAGTGCACAATTCTTTACTACTTGGGTTCAGGAAAATCTGGTGAATGGCTTAGTGCAGCCAAAGGGTTTTGCATTCCATTTACCAGTGCCCCTGAGGCCGCAGGAAAGGTAGTCAGTTGTATCTTCCCTCCTGCTCTTTGGAGTGACTCCATCCAATTTTCTCTTGGTAGGTCAGCCCACCTGGGGTTCTGTGTTTACCAGTGCTGAATATTCCAAGAACTGAATTCAACTACTTCACTGAGACCAGGTTTATATTAGAAGAGCTGAATATCTCTGAATCCTTCCACATATTCCGAGATGAAATTAACCTGCATCAGCTCAATGATGAAGGGAAGTTGTCCATAACACTTGTTGGTAGCAACGTCCTGGCAAGGTAAGACTCACTGTGAAGCTTTGGTGGTTTGGTCCCTGGAGGGGCTTCTGAGCAGTTGTCACCTTGCTCAGGATTGTTGTGGTTTAGGGAGATGTATTAAAAGCAGAGGATGTTTGGAGGAAAGGAAATTTATTTTCTTCTTTTGTAACAAAATTTGGGCTGTGTTAATTCTCTGTTTTTACTTTTGCATTTAAAATACAGCACTTTTAAGTGGAAAGTTTTTGTGAAATTAACCAAAATTATAATTTTAAACCATTTAAAGCATTTTTGTATAACAACATGATAATCCTATGGATTAATGCTGAAAATAAGCAACGCAAATGGAAATCAAACACTAGATAAAACTGAAAGTTTCTTAAGAAAGAAATCTCCATAGTGAAATGGAAATATATGTAGAGAAGGGCCATGAAAGTCATTTGGTGATTGTTTTGTGAACTCACAGCATTTCAGAATCACTTTATGAAAGCTGATGTAGTTCAAACTCCTTATTTTATGGACAGGAAACCTGAAACCAGGTATTACAAATGAGTTACCCATATGTAGTTAATATGAGTTCAGATTAGACCTGGGATCTTTTGCATCCTTCAATAAGTACTTAGGAGTGTTAACTGGGGCAAGAATCTAAAGGTTCATCAAGAGGAATAAGACAAATCTGCCTTCAGTGACCTTACAAAGACGTGTTTGGGATAAGCTGTCTGCTTATCATCATGTGAGGACTCATCATGAATCACCTCCATAGTCTGAGCTGTTTATTCTTTGCATAGTTTGCCAATTTGCTAATTGTTGATGACCTTACCAGTGGACACTGACATTAGTATATATTAAATAAGAACTTTTTAAATTTAATCATTTTAAATTGAATTTTTAAGATACATTTAGGAATGAATACATTATATTTAGGTATGAATACAGTATAATATATGCTTAGGTATGGATACATTATAATATCACATACACAATTCATTTCATTATATGTTTTGCAAACAATCTGCCTATGTGGGGCTGCTTTTATCCCTATGCTATATGAAACAAAGGAAATCCTTTCAACTAATGTTTACCAATCAGTTGACAAGTGGCTGAAAGTTATTGGTAGGTGTTTTGGACTGACTTCAGTTTTTATTTGTATTAGTCAGCTTTCTGTCACTGTAACAAAATACCTGACACAGGAAGTAAAGAGAGATTTATTTTGGCACATGGTTCTGGAGTTTGAAGTTTGAGATCAGGTGGCCTCATTGGTTTGGGTTGTGGTGAGCGTGGCACATCAGCAAGTATAGGAGCAAAATGGTCACATCTCCCACCAGGAACAGAGAGGCTGGGAGGTCAGGGTCCAACAGTCTCCTGTAAGGACATCACCCCATGACCTAAGCACCTCCCACTAGGCTCTGGCTCTTAAAGGTCCATACTGTCTCCCAAAACCTCCACCTTAGGGACCATGCTTTTACAGATAGACCTTTGGGCGAACCAGAAATTACACCAAAACCATAGCATTCATGTTTAGGATAATCATAGGCTTGATTAAATTTATATGTTCACTTTTCCAAACCAACTGATTCAAGTAGACATGGGCAAAGAACTATGGAATGAGTGTATCGATAAAAACAGGAGAGTTTTGTGACCAATTAAAAATAGAAACATTCATGCTGATTTTCAAAACTGAAATTGTGAACTCTAGCTGTGGGATTGTTCATAAAATAGAACACTTTCCAAAAATTAATTGTGACCCTTAAATCTTTTATTGTCACTAATTTGATTTGACAGAATGAATAAAGTCAATTATAACCAGAATTTTCTTCTTGCTTTTGGTAAACACCACCTCTATATCATATTTAAGGATTGATGGTAGAAATAATAAGTCCAGTAATATTTTTTCTACATCACAGTTTCTGGATATACAAGATTTTGGAGCTAGATTGTCAGAGTTTAAATACACTAACTCTCTACTTGCTGGTTGTGTGACCTCAAACACATTTCTTAACTGTTTTGTGCCTCAATTTTCCCATTTGTAAATTGGAGATTTTATGAGAACCTATTCCATAGAGCCATTTCATTGTATAAAATATGACAACATCAGCAGAGTATGTGCAACAGTGTCTGGCTTGTACTGGAAGGTCAGTAAGTGTTGGCTATTATTTCCCAACAGTGAAAAAAGAGATTGAGTTTTTTATGGCTTGTGTCTAGATGTCCCTCCAAAGTCTCATGTGGTCAAAGTGGGGCTTTTTAGAGGTGCCTGGATCTACAGGGTGTGATGCTGGGATCAAGGGCGTGTGATTACTAAATTAGCCTGCTGATTGGTTCGACATAATTCTGGGTAGGAATGAAGGTGCCCCCTCCCTGTTGTGCTACCCTTCCTAAGGGCAGGTAGCCTGGATAAATGTAAGGGACAGAAAGAGGGCTAGTGTCACTGACTGATACTTCACTTGCTTGCTGCCTGCCCTGCTTTACCATGGACTCTTTATTCTCTGGGATGCCCCTCTGCCACACCACCCTGCCTTGCAAACAGCCAACTATGAACTGAAACTTCTACAAACTGTGAGCCAAATAAACTTTTCCTCCCTTAACTGGAGGGTGTCGGGTATTTTGTCTCTGCGATGAGAAAAGTAACTAAGACAGTTGCTAAGGTGTGAAGATATTCTGGGACTCTTGGGGGAAGTAATTGGTCGAAATGAAATGTGAAAAGACACGGAGTCGGGCTCTACTCTTCAGAGTCATGTGAGACTAATATATTTGCTTATTGAGAAGACATTATTAATTTTTTCAGGAACAGAGACTACACAATTCCAAAAAGTGAGACAATGTACCCTCACCACAGCCCCTTTGTCTTCTCCATTGGCTTTACAGTGAGGACAAAGCACTGGAATCAGCAGTTGTCAAAGTCATTGACCCAGTTGAGCAGAACGGTGCCAAGTTGGAGTTCCAAGAGTCTTCCTCATCCCTTGTGCTGAAAGAGCTTCTCCAGGAGGCTCCGGAGCTCCTCACCGAGCAGCTGGCTCATCTTCTCAGAGGTGAGTGACAGCACTTCCTATTAAATACTGGAAGGCTTAATGGAGTGGCTCGCAACCTGCCCATGCAGAAAGAGTGGGATCCATTCTTGGGTTAACAATCCCTTTAAAGACCACAGGAAGCTTCATCAGAGAGGCAGGGAGTAAAGAGTTTGTTAAAGAGTAGCATTATATTGAATATTAAAGATGTGCATTTAAAAATAGGCACAAAGGGCCTTGCTGTTTCACTAGGCAAGAATAGTAAATGGAGCTGCTGCACCCCTGTTGGAGAGCCAGAGTAGCTCCTCTGGCTGTTGTAACTGCTTCCAGTGATGATTTGTGCCCCACGATAGCATAAATATGGACCAGAATACTATATGCCCACCTAGAAACATCTCCTGATACTTAGACATGCTTGGTTTATATAATACTCTTTGGATGGCAGATACACACTTTGATTTCAATGATATTAGATCAAGTGTTTCAAAGTCAAATGTTATCTCCTTTCACTGTCATCTTGTAACATAGTCCATCTTCACCCTAAATATTTTAAGCCCTGAGATTGTGAGTGCCATCAGTTACAGTAGAACCTCAGTGTGTATGAGTTCCACATCCATGAATTTAACCAGGCTCATACTGAAAATATTTAAAAAATTTACCTCTGTACGTGAACAGGTACAGACTTGTTTCTTGTTATTGTTCTCTAAGCAATAATATATAACAACTATTTACCTGATACTGCCATTGTAGTAGGTATTATAAATAGTCCAGGGATGGTCTGAAGTACACAGGTTGTTGATAAGTTATGTACAAATAGTATGCTATGAGACTTGAGCATCCCCAGATTTTGGTAGTCTCAGGACTCCTAGAATCAATCCCCCACAGACACTGAGGGATGACATATTCTCCTAATCCTTTCTTCATATCCATCAGTGGAGCCCACTGCTTTCAAAGAGTGGTTTTCAAGCTAGAAATTCTCAGTTGACTTTGCTGTCACAAAATGACCACAAAAGTCTAGTTATTTGCTCGTGGAAGACACTGTTTTGGTTTTATATTACAGCTTTTCCTCTCAATAATTCATTTTGACCTGAGGAAAAGACTTTACTCAGAGGTATTTAATAAAGGAAAATGAAAAACAGTGAGGATCAGATGAAAGAATTTGAAAAGGAGGACAATCTGTATGTTGATTCAACTCTTCTAAGGGCTCTTTCCTTCCTTTCTTCTGTCTCTACCACTTCTTGGAAGGGAGAAGGTCCAAGAATTCTATAGTGCTTATAAAAGTTTCAGAACTAATGACCCCAGGAAATTGCTTTAAATATTTTTATCTCAATAGACCTCAGCAAAAATGCTGTATGAGAAATGGTGCCTTCATCAAATCTAAGTAAGCACAATCATTTCTCTTTTTGATGGAGCAGAAGGAAAATAAAGGTAATTGGGTATCTCAGCTAAGAGGAAAGTTGTTTGATGGTGAGAGTGTGTGGTATAGGCAAGTACTAGGGAATATTTTGTTTAAATATCTTGCAAACTAAGGAGTTCGGTCTATTATTTAAAAATGTGTTATTTAGTAGGAAAAAAGTAACTGAGTAGCTCATCTTCATGATTTTTTATCAATAATAAAAGAATATAAAAATATTCCTTAGTGCAAAGACATGGCTTTGTTGTATGATGATGATGATGATGATTAGATTTAAAGAATTAGAAGAGAGATAGGCTATTTTGCCTGTTTGTAGAGCTACCAAGGCATAAAGTTATGAGAGTGAGTGTTTTATTTTTCTTAACATCAGAGATCTCTTTTGAAGTAGCCTTGAAATGGCACTGGGAAGCTGACAAGACATGGACATTACTTTCTTGCTTTTTAAAATTGGAGTATGAGAGGATGAAAGTGTGAAGGTGTTCAGCCTGTGAAAACAGCCACTATGGGTTCTGTTATGAAAGAGCCTGATTAACTTAAGCCTAGGAGGTAAAGGAACCAGGGGTTTTATTACAGTGGAAAGGGCTCTGGAGACCTTGGGCCAAAGTACATCTGTTTGTGCACATGGGTACAGGCATGGGGAGAGGAGAGGAAACATCACGAACAGCTTTGACTGGGGGGACTGAGGATGGTGATCCAAAAGTCTGACCTTAAAACAATGATCCAAATGTTCAGAGTAACAGTATTTTGGGGCAGTGACCTAATTTTTTAAAGTTCCAGAAACTTTAGTATGTACAAACTGAACCCAAACTTAGATTTTATACTTTTGCCATCTTGTATCAATTCCAAACCTAAAAAGATTTGTTTTTCTATGTTTCTATAAATGATTCTAGCAGTATTTTGATAAGATGAATACTTCTCTTTCTAAAATATCCTCTTTATAAATGGCTATATTACTTTGTATTTTAGGGTGGTCTAAATCTTTAATCTGATACACATTCCTAGAACAGGAAGGTATATTATGTATGTATGTATTATGTATTCTAGGTTTCAAAAATACAAAATATTTAGGCCCATCTTTGCCACAAAGAATTTTAGAAAATGCCTGTTTTTGAGGCCACGAGATTAGATATCTATGACTGAGTCTTAGAAGAGTCTTTAAAAGCATCATATTAGACATGAAGAATCATAAATTTACTATGAGTTAAGTACTTCATAAATTTGACTGTTCTTTGCTTTTCATGTCTACTGTCCTACCCCAGAACATGTCATTCTGAGACACTCTGGTGTGCTGTAAGATAATTTCAGGTAGGCTAAGAAATTGATTCCCTCAGTTCTTGGAGAAGCTCCAACACGTATCTCCTAGCTGAGTATATTGGGGAAAACTAATGTTCTCTTTCTCTCTTTCTTTCTTTCTTTCTTTCTTTCTTTCTTTCTTTCTTTCTTTCTTTCTTTCTTTCTTTCTTTTTCTTTTCTTTTTTTTTTTTTTTACTAATTTTCAATGAACCTTTAATGTACAAAAGATTGGATGTGCTCTTCCTTCCTTTTGCTTTTTAGCTCATTTTCCTGGGTTCAATTTCTAACACTGTGGTGCCCTAGAACTTTATTGTGGGACTTTAAAAAAAAATCTACACATTATCTTCAGGTGACTTCATTTATTTCCAAGAACTTAAATAATACATACAGGCTGTGATTCCCTATGTCTCCCACATGACCTCTCTTTAGAATTCAAGCCCCATATCCAGTACCCATGAGACCTCTTCACGTGTGTGTCTAATTCCACCACTACCATGAAGGGCCAGAATGGAATCCATTAATTCCCCGAGTCTCCAAACCTGTTTTAATTCCAGTTTTGCCATTTCAGTGAGGGCACAGCAGGCCACCCAGTTACTCAAGCCACAGTGGAGGAGTTATACTTGATTCTTTCCTTTTTCTTCCCTTCAATATTCACCCATTAGCAAGTACTGTTGAGTCCACATACAGAATCTATACATGTTTTCCATAATGGTTACTAGTGGCTCACCCCAAGCTGCCATTTCTGTCTCGCCTTGTGTACCACTATAGCTGCCTGTCCTTCCTCTATTTTTTCGCATAAAACCTAGTGCCTATGAAATAGCCATAATGACCTTTTAAAAATGTAAATCAGGCCACATCAATCCCCTGCTTGTAACTCATCACATTCCAAATCCAAGCATCGTACCCTTCCAAACTTGCAGCATCTGCTTTCCTCTGCTCCCTCGAACATTGTCTGATCTTCCCCTACTGTGTTCCAGGCACAGGGCCTTTCAGTTTTCCAAGTAGTCCAACCTCTTTCCATTCTGGAGGGTTTACATAAGCTGTTCCCTCTGTATAGAATGCTTATTCTTGTCTACTCACCTCTCTTCCTGTCTAGCCCTGGGTTCTGCCTCCTTCTCTTTTCTAACTGTAGAATGTGAGGTTTATGAGAGAAGAGACCTTGTGTGCTGTGTGCATTGCTTCATTACTGTCTCTGGTGCTTAGAGCCATGCCTGTTACATAGTAGACCAACAGTAAAGACTTATGGAATGAGTTTTGCAAGACTGTACACTCTGTTTTCATAACTGCATTGATTTTGTTAGTGTGATGACATTTTAATTTCCATTCGATTGCAGCCCATTCCTCTAATATTTTTAGTGTCTAGAATTTGGACATTGTTTCTTAAGTAATAAACCCATCTTTTAAAATTATTTTAGGCTTTTAGAAATCCTAGTAGAATCTGTTTTATTAATTTTCAAGAATTTTTTGTTTTATTTTTCTGCTTCTTGAGATAGGGTCTTACTATGTAGTTCAGGTTGGCCTTGAACTCATAGAGATCCTCCTGCTTTAGCCTTCCAAGTGCTGGGATTACAGGCATGCACCAACACGCCTGGCAAGAACTTGTTTTTATTTTCATATTTTGATTGCCATCATACATATTTTAAAATGTATGCACATAATTCAACCCTTTGTGTCATATAGGACATACATAGAAAAAAATTAAAATATGTCCATATAAACATAAATATACAATTCATTAACTCATAACAAAGAAACACCCTTTTAACAATTGCCCAGATAAAGAAATTTAACAAGATCTTTTTGTACCCCTTTCTGGCACTACTAACTCACCCCCTAATTAGGTAATTAGTATTCTAATTTTTATGGTACATACTTCTTGGTTTTCTTCATACTTTTGCCACCCTGCTGTGTATACCTCATAACATTACACATGGATTTTGCCTGGTTTGACTCTTTTTTTTTCGGGTACCAGGGATTGAACTCAGGACCTTGCTCTTGCCAGGCAGGCACAGCGCCACTGAGCTACATCCCCAGCCCTTGGTTTGACTCTTACAAAAATGATTTACTCTCTTTGTCTTTAGATCAAAACAGGTATACTAAATTTAGTATCTACTTGCACTGGTCAGTTATCTCTCTGTCTATCTATCTATCTTTTACTTATTTTTTGCTTCATGCCTTCTTTCTTGCATGGAATATTTGAGATGGATTATAAATATGCATAACATACAATAAAACAAAGAAAAAGCCAAGAAAAAGAAAAATAGTAGAGAAAAGAATAAGATGAAGATATAACGATAAAATTGGAGATGTAAAAATA